GGCGGGGCAGCAGGGCGCCCCCGGGTGCGCGGAGCGGCGGCGGCGGCGGACACGGTCGGCTCCTCGGCGAGGCTGGAGCTGGAGCTGGAGCAGCGGAGCGAGCAGCGGCGAGCGCCTCACGGACGGGAGCCGAGCGCGAGAGAGACTGAAGGCAGAATTCTGCCTGGGTACCACCTGCCAGGAGAAGAGGAGGCTGACAAACGCGAGCCCGAGCAATTTATAGGCACCCAAGGCACAGAGGAAGGGGAGCCGTTTGGCGTCTCATAGCAGCATCTGCTCTGCTCATCCCACTCAGAGAGAGTTTGGCATTACTCTGACAATGTGGGATTTTTTTTTTTTTTCGGCCTCTCTTTTTTTTTCCCCTCTCTGCACATGGATGAACAGTGAAATCCTGAATACTCCCTTGCTAAACCCAGGCGATGGCAGCGCTCTCGCTGGAAATATCTAGGAGAGGGATACAGCTATATGACAGCCGCCAGGACTCAAGGGTCACACCTAAGTCCCCTATTTCCCCGCTGCCAGCAGCCCCAGAGGTGAAGGTTGAAAGGAGGGTAGCTGGGTTGACAATATTTCTTTACTGGCTCATCCACAATCAGTGCTTCAGGTGTTTTTCAAAATGCCACTTTTAACATAAGAAGGGCCCTTTAGAATTTTCCGGATGGTAGATGTGATTTTTAACCTTATGATTTTCCTCCCCAGCCTTCTAAATGGAATAACGTGTTAAAGGTGTGTTGAACAGCCAAAGAACATTCCTCAATGATTTTAAATGGGCAGGTCCATCGCATAAAGAGGGGAGGGTTGGTTCTTTCTACAAATGCTGCACGGTGGTGACTGCGTACATATGTGCTCTTACAGACTTAAAATTCTAGCAACCTTTCAGGAGATACTGCCATTGGACCTGATGTTGCACTTACTTACAGATGCTACATGCATAAGAAATGATCCTTTGTCAAAATGCCTTCAAAGGTCTTAAGATATAGTAAGCAGCGTTTACACAAGTGCTGGGAAAGGTCTTTCCCTACGATATAGAAAGAGTTCCACAAGCTCTATAGCAGAGCTCCCAAATGCACGTTGGGGGAAGGGAGAAATAGGAAAAATATGACAAAGAAGAGCCCCTACTGACGGTGGGAGAGCGAGAGAAGGAACAGCCTGGATTTATCATATGAATGGAAAGCCCCCAGAGTAGATATTAGGCAAGTTATCCCACCAACGAATGCATAAAGACGAACAAGAACAGCTTTAAATAAATAAGTAAAATTGATTCCTAAATCATACTTCTGCATTCAGGAGCAATGGATGTCAATCAAATGTGGGTGACATTTGCTTGTCAATATGGGGATGATGGCTGGGAAGACCATGACTTATTATATCAAGGTGAGAATCTGAAATGAGAAGCAGGAACAAATGAGACTACAGCAAGCAAACAATAACATCCCAGGTGACGACCAGCAGCAGCCTGTGATCTTGTCTGTAGACGCCACAGCACGGACGAGTCCTTCCCGGTTCCTTGGTTCCTTTAGCTCCCCAGCCTCCACCCCCTCCACCCCACCCTACCAGTTTAGTTTGTTCTTTCTTTCCTTCTTCTCTGTTTCAAAACAAAATAAGGTCAAATGAGCAGACAGAAGGAAACAAAGATTCATTGATTTTGAGAGAAATGTCAGACGCTCCTGCAGGTGGAGAATCAACACCAAAGACGTGGGCTGTGTGGCTCAGTGTGGCCCGAGTCTCCACATCCGCCTGGCTGCTGATGGAGGCATTGCTGTGGGTGCTGGAAAATAGTCCCTCCCACTTCTCAATCCTTTAACTTTCAGTGTAGAGTAGTGGTTTTATGAATGTGCATCTTTTTCTTGGGCATAATTATACGCATAATCCTGTAATATTTTTGTTCACATGAGCTACCTTATTTTTATGTTTTTAAGCAGCAAACACATAGCAAATTCTCTCCTGGCCATAATACCTACTTTCCTAACATGCCTTTTGGCTTGCTTCTCCAAAGTCATCTCTCTTTTGGAGGACAAAATGGCAAGCTGTAGTAGCAGCAATGGAAGGTAATATATTAATGAAATAAACTCTGATGCACCAAGTTATCAAAATTCATAAGGCCTCTTTATTGCTGAGGAGAGTATGGCAAGGGATAAAAAGGGAGTTTTTAAAAGGTAAAGGTGTATAAAAAAATTCTCATCAAAACCTCAAGATACACAGAGTTTTCCCACTGAGGGATGCTCATCTTATGGAGGAACCCATCAATGATAAAATAAAATATTAGAGTTGGAATGGACCCTAGGAAGCTAGTGTCCACCCAGCTCATGCAGATAAGAAGACAGACAGAGCTTCAAATAGAATCAGGGCCATCCAATGAGCTTGTTGGTACTTCCTCCTCTATACAATCAATACACCTCGTCCCAGCCTGAGACTGACCATACTAGTCTTAGGAATTGAGATTTTCCTCCTTCTATTTTCTCTGATGCCAAAACAAAGTTTGATTTTGCAAGTGAGTGCCCTCACATCTTAAAGCTCTGCTGAGATGTTGAAAGGTGTCAGGAGTCATCATTCATAATGAAGGTGTCCTCTCTCAGGCCATATGGCTGACCCCAGACTTTCTATCAGGAGCACAAACCTGGGTAGACCATGGACACTTGGCTTTTTAGTAAAATAGATTTAAATTATTAGTCTCCTTTCTCTTCTCTAGAAATGTCCCACTATGGGTTACTGCAGGTGGGAAACAGGGAGGGGGAGGGGGTTAATGGGTTAATGGACACAAAACAGCTAGATAGGAAAAATAAGTTGTATTGGTGTACAGTGGTGCTAAGAATCTATAATTAACATTAATTTACTGCATGTTATCAAATGACTAGAAAAGAGATCAAATGTCCTCAAACACACACAAAAAAGGATTACATTTTGTAATGATGAATATGCTAATTATCCTGCCTTGATCATCACATGTTATACACAGGGATTGATATTCAACTCTGTACCCCACAAATATGCATAACCAATTATGTTTCAATAAAAAAAAAGTCTCTCCATGCACTTTGGGGAAACTTTTTTTTTTTCAGGGATGACTTGTTAGTAGATGAATTCATTATGGCTGGTTACTGCCACTTTCCACTGCTCAAATGTCTCAGAAGGTTTTCTGGAAAATTACTCACACTTCAGCTCTTGTTCTGACAGTTTGAATAAACCATCTGATAAGGCATATTACTCATCATCTTTATATATATATATATAAAATAATAAATGTGGCAATTAAAAAAGTATTTTATTTTCTTCAGTCCTCATTAGAGAACTAAGTTTTCTCTCATACTTAATATTAATCTTGGAAGAGGACCCTGGAATCTAGTTTTCACAGTACCTCCCAATCATGTCTCAAGAAAACACCAGGCACCACACACCCATTCTTTCTGCACCTGGGCCTTTGGGACTCTTCTGATGATAAAGTCCAATCCAGAAACCCGTGATCAGGGGTGGGTTACAATCCTGTGATTTCCATCTTTCATTTTCATTGTCTGTATCGCTTTTGGAGAGCTGAGCAGATCCTAAGCACAGAAATCCCACACAGACATGCACGACTATCCATTAATCTTCACTGAGCCACCAGTGGCAGCATAAC